AGATGCTCGTCAGAGTGGGCAAGGGTGATTGGTGTCGACGTTTGCAGAGAAGAGAAAGTGAGAGGGCGAGATAGAGCCGAGAGAGTGAGAGAGAGTCCAAATGTGGAGGAGAAGGTGCCACGAGGCAAGAGAGGAGAGGAGAGCCAGAAAATTAATAAAATATTAAAATTATCCCACCAAAATTACTAAAATAATAAAATACCCTAAATTCAAATTTCATAACACACTGTCAAATTTCGTAGTTCCGTAAAGTCTTCATCGTAGCTTCAAAATTTGATTCCGCTTGCGCCTACGCTTTCGTATCATCGAGCACTTTGAGAATATGGTAAAATAGTAGCTCGTACGTGTTACAAATTGACAGTCAATGAAAGTCAATAATCTCTCCTCAAGGGGCATTTCTGTCAATTCACTCCTCTAAAATTTATAAAATTGTAAAATTAGGGATGGGTTGTTACATGTGATGCATGTGTAATCGTATAATTTTATTTTATTTTTCACCATATCTTGGTTGTAGAATTTATTTATATAACTAAGATATGACTCACATCCTAACTCGTAAATGGTCTTTATTCATGGGTTGGGGCATGAAAAATGGTATCAGAGCTTAGGACGAGATACCCTAAGATAGTACCTGTGGTGTTTACCATATTTGTCAAATAGCCTTTTATTTTACATTCCCTAGTTATGATTTCAAAAATATTATGTTGGAGTAAGTTGGGATTTGTCTTACGCCTTGATGGGTGTTTTCTTGTGAGCTAGATTGTGCTTTTGGACTCATATTATTGCACTGCAAAGATAATGACATGGTGGTCCATGTCTTTCGGAATTTGAGTTTTGTTTAAGAAAAAATGCTGAGTTTTTCAACGATGCTCATTTATTTCAATATACTTACTTGTGTAATGGTTTTGTAAAATGGTAATTTGACTACTTGCTGTTTAACACTTGCAATTTGTTTGCAGGAATATATTTTCTTTAGTAAATGTTTGTAAATTTTGATGGTGAAACGAATTTGGATGTAATTCATTCTTACTCACAAAAGAAAAACAAAAAAAAAGGGCCATTTGTGAAGTGAAATTCTCATTCCTACACGAGTTGGTAATGTCAATAATAAATCTCATTCCTACATAGCTTTTGGCTATGTGATGAGTTATAAAATTTTAAATGACATGGGGTGAGAATATAGGAATCCAATTAGTAAGGTGATTGGTGAGTTACATTACCGATTTGTATAACCATCAATTTTCCTACACTGATTTCATTATTAAGTGATTTTCAATTAAAATACTAATTTCGTTTTCCTATCAGGTTCACTATAGAGGTGTTTTGCTAGAGTTGGAAGGCCTAAATTGGAGAATTGCAATCCACTTTATATGGAAAGGTAGTCTCCATGCAACCGCTCTAACTAAATACTTTCTTAATGTTTTCAAACTATTACTATTTGTTATATATTTTACTACGTCTTTGAGAATTGTTTACCTTATTAATACAACAATTAAATTTTACAAATTTCGAGGACAAAATTTATTTTAAGGAAGGTAGATTGTAATATCCCGTATTTAAAAAAAAAGTATATGTATCGTATTATTTCTATATTACAAAAGTTTTGTATCTCTCTGTAATTGTATTTCCTTTATTTTGGTTTATTGGACAAATATACCTAATTACTAATAGAATGAGAGGTGGGAATTTTGTTAGTAGAGTTAATTTGATATTTTCTCACAAAGGACCAAGAGTTTGAGGTGGGACTAATTGAGTAGTTTTGTCTTGTTATTTTATCCAAGGGATAAGGTGGAAGTTGGTAATTAATAGAAGCTAATAATTAGGGTGAAGAGGTGGAGTCTATAGCATGTGTATGTTAGTCTGTTAGCATGCATGAATCAATGTTTGTGGTATTAGAAGTGCTTACTCATCAATCTAAAGGAATCTTAATCATTTGGGCAATATTCTCACTCCAATGCAACTCTATTAAGCTTACTTTGAGATAAACCTTTACGTGGCCTTTGATGCTTGCATCCATCTTGCATGATATTCATTTGTTCATAATTAACTTGAAACTTGTTGCTTTGCCGCTTGAACACTTATCATTCTTAACGATTAGGACAACACTTGTTGCCTTGTTATTGGAACACATTTTATGGTGATGGTTAGCACAATACTTGGTTTCTTTCTATTGGCACACTTGGAAGCTTTCTCCTCAAACTAGATGGGAAGGAAGAGGTTATTCAATCTTTATAAAGGAAGGAGCATGAACCAACGGAAAGGACATGAAGAGAAGGGAGAGGAAGAAGAAGAAGAAAAGAAAAGAAAAAAGAGAACATCTTTAAATAGAAAGCCATTCTCCCTTTTATATTACCTTCTTTCTTTTACATGTTGTTAAGGCTTTAAGCCATCTTTCATTGTATTTGTAAGTTCCTCATATGTAGTGAAATACAATGAAATCAAACCCAGTAAATGTAGTCGATTTGGTGAACCACTTAAATATTTTATTGTTTATGCATTTACAATTGGAGATCATTGCCATGAGAAACACTTCCACCAAAGCATTGAAAATCTCCATTTATTTCCCCTGTACAGTAAGTGAGAGACAAATCCCAAAAAATGCATGAGAGCTTACCCAACAAATCTCTCCACTGAACTCACCATCATTTTCATCTATCAAAAGAAAGATATCCAAAAACAAGAAATTCATCCCGCCTATTTTTCAGACCAAAACACCATCATCCGTAGCTTATATCAAAGTACTTCCTTAATAAAGGTTGTTCGTCTATTTCTCTATCATGATATATTTAATAAAGGTTGTTCGTCTATTTCTCTATCATGATATATCCAAATTTTAGGAAATTCCAACAATAAGATCGTCTCATATGTTTGAAATAGCAACGCAGTCTCCAATCCCGCAAAAATGGACAATCATGTAATGAGTACCAAAACCCCATTTTCCGTCGCTCAGATCGAAGTACTTCCTTCACAAGAGTTGTTCATATTCCTCTCAACCATAACATGAAAATCTTTAAGGGAAGGGATCCCCAATTTTTTTTTTATTTATAAAAATGGGGATTAGTTGTGGGGTCCACACTACATCGAACTTTAAAGATCTGAACCGTCTATTTTTCAAGTTGCACCTCATAGATCATCCTTGCAAAATATTAGCTAAATCGGAAATGTTTAAGACATCTATTTAGGTTCAAAGAAATTAACGAATACTTTGTTATATAAGAAACAATGAAATTTTATCTTGATAATTAAATAGGTAATGGTTTCGGATTGAATTGAATTTTTGCAAGGATGATCTATGAATTAAGACTTACAAAATAGACGGTTCAGATTGTTAAAGTTTGATGCAGAGTGAGTCCCACACCTAATCCCCATTTTTGGAAAAACAAATGGGGATCCCTTTACATAAGGGGGTTGACCATAACATATCCAAATAGAAAAATCCAATAGTCGATTCATTCCAGATCCTTGAAATACTATTACAGACTTGAAAATCCGTAGAAAACCCTGAAATCATGTTTAGAGCTTCAAAACTCCAACTTCCTTAGCTCAAACAGAGACACTTCATTCATAACAGTTGTTCCTTATCATCTCTTCTATGACATATCCAAAAGCCACGACAATCCTATATATGTACTGATTTGTACGCCAGTTCGAATAGCTAATGTTTGGTTGAGCTAGCCTTCTTGGCCAACCTCTTTGTATGGCCAACATCTCCGAAGAGCAAGGGGACGTGGCGAAGGAAGAAAGATAACAAGAGGGAGGAAATGAAATTGAAAACAATAAAAAGGAGGAAATGGTAATGTATTGTTTATCATTTATGTTGCTATTAAAGATTATTACTTTGTTGTTTATTTATGATTATATTACTCTTGTTACTAAGTAATTTGATTTATGTTGAAACTTGCAGGCTTGTTAGATAAAATGTGAGTATTGATATATATGTGAACATGACATATACATAAGCATTCATGCAAAGTAAGAAAAAGAGTTGTGTTGTGTCAAGTGCTCACTTATGTAAGGTGTTTAAGTTGTGAGTATATTCAAGGGCTGAAGTTTCCCTTTAATATAAAATAATGAACCTTGTATACGTCAGGTGTTAGGAGAAAGACTTAAGTAGACAACCAGTTGGTTATAAATTAATAAAATCTTGTATATGTTAGGCGTCAGGGGAAGGCTTGAATATACAATTAGGCATTGGGGGAAGTGCATAACAAAGTGAAATTTGAGAATTTAATTCTAAAAATTGAGCTTAAGGGATGAACGGGAATTAACTCATATTCTAAGGTATTCAGAGCCAAGTAGTTGGTATAAGCATGGTATGAGATGTGCAGGTTTGGATGTCTTAGGTATGTGTTAGCGGGATTAGAAAGGAGTGAGTACATTCATCCATCCCATTTGCATATATTTTGTGTATTTGCAAGAATGGTTACAATCTAATCATTATTTAATTGGTAGTTCTGTTATGAATTAATTTGTACACTATTTTATTCTGATACGTATTCGATAAATTTTTATGTGATATGTGTAATCGCTATAATTTAATTTTATTTTCCACTATATCTTGGTTGTAGAATTTATTTCTATAGTTAAGATAGGCATTGCTTACCCTCTTGAAAATTCATTGGTGCGAGAATTTGATGTGCCTACCCACAATCGAGGCTCTGCAACGTAAAATATCGTGGATGTCACCTTCCGCAGAAAAGATGCACCAAGCTCTCAGGCCCCAATGGCTCAAGGTTTCTAACTTTCAGTTCTCCAGAAAACATGTTCCAGATATGAGGGGTATATTTTTTCCCCTAGCCTTTTCTTGTTATCAAAATATCTTTATATTTTTTACTTCAGTTAAATACAGGCTTCTTGTTATATTCATCTGGTGATGATTTGAAAAGCGAATTTCTGAACAAGTTCACTACTGGCACTTAGTCACACTCTACTAATTTCTGAACAAGTTTCATATCATGAATACATTTTGATTCGTCTGCATAGCGATTTAATTTCTCAAACTTTAGAGCGAACCATCAAGATGAACTCCTATATTCTGATAGCACGGTGTGTTTTATGTACTCTAAGATCATATGATTTGTGCCTAATCTCATTTAGTAATCATATTCCTTTTGTTTCAATAAAAGCCATCATTATTTTGTCTTTTCAAGCATGGTAAACTTGAATTTGATGCTTGGCTTATTTTGTATACTGCTTGCAGTAATAGACGTAGTTCGTATGACTTTTCTTGTCGTTGAAGTTTTCACGGCTTTTGGTTTCAGGATGTAATCAGCATTGGCTGCCTGCTGAAGTCTCGTCACTGGATGCTGTTTCAATTTATCGTCAGATGGGCTAGAATCTTGCAACTCCGTTCGCTCAATGTAACACGTGCTGGAAAGATTTGTGCTACACACTGTCATGTGTTTTGAGAAGTTGATGATCATACTCCATTCCACACAGTTTTTACATCCAAGCTTCCAGAGAAAAATTGATTGTAAACACACACACGCATTGATCTGTCTTATCTGTAGAGTTAAACACACACACGCATCGATCTGTCTAGCCAAAGATCACTACTTTGGCCTAGGATTGCGAATGAAACATGCACACATCGATCTGTCTTATCTGTAATCTGTTCTTTGAAAGCACATGGAAAATTCTATCTCTTTTGGAAGTTAAGAAACCTGATGCCGTAGGCAAAGATGAAGAAGAAGAGGAGCACCCAACCAAGATGTGCAAAGACTACTGCTACAAGGAAATCATAGTCATATCCCAAGTACTCCTTAAGGAATGCATCCACCGGCTTTGGCGCTGAGCCAGGAATTTCGAGTAATGTCTTCTTATCCCCGAGTTGAGATGTGAAAACGCCATAGATTGTCCAAGCAACCGGGGAACACCAGTAGTACCACCTCCACCATATCGGGATTAGCTGAGACAATAACAGTAGAGCATGAGTTACTTTGGTCACTGCGTTATACTAGCTTCTAATTATATTTTCGTTTGCTTTTCAGATTGCATTCTCATATCTTATCTACTTTCGTGTGCTAATGAAGATTAATTGTGATTACATACCGGCCTGGGAATGAGGAAGCCCGAAAATAAATTCCAGAAGCTGATGAAGAATGCCATAACAACGGCAGCAATCTGACTGCCGGGAGTCAGTGCAACGACCATCATCCCGTACATAGAGAAGTACGTGAAGCACATGAATATGAAGTAGTAAAAGTACAAGAACTTCTCGACCTTCCAGTGGTAACCGATCATGGAATAGAGTAGAAGAGAATAGATGAAGGTTTGTATTGCAACATAAATTGTTTCTATAGCCACCTGCAGCACCAAAGAGAAGAAAATGACCATTTACGTTTCTAGAGAAGAAAATGCGAGATAGATAGATAAATATGGTCATATCGATTACCTGAGAAAATGCATATGGCAACTCGGAATACATTCCTGCTGCTCTTTCCCGATAAAATACTGTTCTCTCAATTGCCACAACAGTTTGCACCGAAGAAGCGTTGGAGGCTCCAAGGAAAAGAACAGCAGAATATGTAGCTCCCAATAGATTAATCAGGTCTTGTTGTTTGTGTCTGCAGAAAATAGAATATGGCATTTAGCTTCATCTCAAATTCCATGCATTACGTAAGCAATGTAGCTTGTTTAAAGGAACGTTCAAGTTTGAACATACATCTGGCTTCCTTTGCCCCAAAAGATTACGCCGAATAAGATACCGATAACAATTGTCATGAAAAACCTGATTGCATTGTACTGCGAATTCCTCCAGTAAGACCAGTGTTGTTTCCAGAAACAAGCCTTGCACTGAGTTATGAAGCTTTGCGAGTACTTGGTCGGGAAGTGAAGATCCTTGGAACCTGGTTGCGGAGTGCTTAGCTCCTTGATGAGCTCCTGATTCTTCCTGAAAAGTTGGGAAAATAAGACAAAACCAGGACACATGTAACGGGAAAGAGGTTGAGAGAAGAAGATGCAGTACATTACTTACTGATAGAGTTCGGAATTGGCATAAACTTCTGAGAAATCAAGGTTAAGTTGTGCCTCAACCGCAGTGGAGCTGATCTCTAGCATCCATGTCGCAGGATTGTAACCCTCTTTTATTTTCTGAACCCCTTCAATAGCCTACAAGAAGTTTTCGATATCAGTTATCTAATAGCCTTATCTAATAGCCTAATTTTCAGAAAGTTTCTTCGAATTTGAGTCATGAGTACCACAAAAACTCACCTCAAAATATTCCACAAGTTTATGAGAATTACTACCTAGTGGTCCTGCATAAATAACACTTCCTCCTCTTTTCATCAAAAGTAGCTGCAAACGAAAAGATACAATGTCAAAGTTGACAAAGTTAGAAACCATTACAAGTGACAATCGAGTCCAAAGACGAAAGATATATACCTCATCAAAGGATTCAAAAATATCAATGCTTGGTTGGTGGATTGTGCACACTACAGTTCGACCAGTATCTACCGTGTTCCTTACAGTGCGCATCACAATTGCAGCAGCTCTAGCATCAAGCCCTGATGTGGGTTCATCCATAAAGATAATGGAAGGATTAGCAACCAATTCTACAGCTATTGTGAGCCTCTTTCTCTGTTCAGTCGAAAGACCATCTACTCCTGGAAGTCCGACTAAAGCATCCCTCAACGGGTTAAGTTCAATGAGTTCCATCACTTCTTCAACAAACATCTACAAGATAAATGAAATTTATTGTCATCTATGATGCTTCGTACATGATTTTAAAATTTTTCCATAGGATAGTCATTATAGTACCTTTCGTGTTTCCTTCTTTACATCTGAAGCAAGACGCAACCATGAAGAATATAAAAGAGATTCGTAGACAGTCACATAGGGGGAATGGATGTCATTTTGTTCACAATAACCGCTAACTCGAGCAAATGTAGCTTGGTTCTTTGGGTACCCAGAAATGCTTATACTTCCCTCAATGTACCCGCCAGTCTTCCTTCCGGATAAGAGATCCATCAAGGTTGTCTTCCCAGCACCGCTGACCCCTACTAATGCGGTAAGAACACCAGGCCGGAAAGTGCCACTGACATCTCGTAGCAGTTGCAGTCTGGTCTCTTCAACCCCTTGACTCTTCATTTCCTGGTGTTATGGGGAAAAAAAGCTTGACTTAATACATATTCTTGTTTCTAATCTGATACAAATTTATGTGATTTCTAAAAATTCTGGTTGAAATATCAGGTGGTCAGCGATCTGTTTAGTTTCGTTAGAATTCACATTTACCATCAATTTGACTGAATAGAAATTGGAAGAAATTTTCATGGTGAACAGGACAAATGGACTTACGGCAGGCATGTCCACGTAGTAATTCACATGGTTAAAAGCAAGTGAAAGCGGCTGGAAGGGCAACATCATTCCTCTTCTAGCTTCATTGTTTGAAGAACTGATACCTGCTGAATTATCAGTACCTGTCAACTGTTTCTTCGTTTTTCTTTCAGAGTTTTCATGCGCGATCACAGCTTTAGAATCAATGAGTGCTGAAATTGAGTTCACGAAAACAACAATGAGTACAGGGCTCCTCATTTATTCAAGTCAAGGAACCAAATTACTACTGTGAAATAGTGACTTACGCTTTAAAAATGTCAGCGCTGCAATGAAACCAATGTTAAAAAGAAGAGAATATCCAAGAAGTGCTCCAATGCAAATCCAGTACCAGTATTCATCTACAAACAGTCCTCTTTCCTTAAGGAGGGTCTTTCCGACTGTCGGTTGGCTAGAACCATTTATGGGCTGGGACCGAGAAAACAACATATATGAAAATAGCACAAAGTATATGAACTTAATGAAGTTTAGAAAGAAAGTAAAAAATTTCCCATTTTCTTCTAGGCAATAGGATAACTTACAGTGCTCCATCTTTTGTCCAGAAACTCATTGATAGCGATGGCGTTTTGACCATACATCATAGGAGAAATATAGTAGCCCCAAATCATCCATGGTTTGATGTCATCTGCACAAACACAAACCGTTACTGTTGAGTTGTGAAAATATGATCAAAATTTGGAAGATTCCTGGTACAGAATGATACATATGCAGCAGTATACGTCAAAACCATAAAAACCACAACCCGAAAAGAGAAGGATTAATACTTACTTTTGGAAACTACGAAACCTCCTAGCACAAAGACCATTAGCAAGGTAAAGGTGCCAATTGTGCTTGCAACTATTTCTGTTCTTCCGACAGCTGCAAGGAAACGGAAGAGGGAGAGGGCCATCTGATGCACTCCGAACAAGGCCAAGAATTGTTTGAAAAACCTGCATGGTCAACCTATAAGCAAACTTTATAAACGAATGGAACCAAAACTAGATAAATTAGCAGTTTAGCGTACTGACCTACTCGCAGCAGGTGCAAAACCAATTGTGTAATACGTAAGAATAATCCAAATGGCTGATTCCATCAGTGATATGGGAATTCTGAGGAGCCAAATGGGCAAGCCAAAAGCCCATCCTGGATAGAACAAGGCATCCCTCTGTTTAAAGAACACAGGAAGCCTCATAACTGTCATTGCAAGCTCTGCCATCCCGTTGAACATGACATTGATGAGACTGAAAAACAGTGCTCCCCAAAACTTTGGTGCATCTTCTAAATGACCCGCTTTCATTTGCGTTCTTAGGAACACAGTGAATGCGATCGTAGCCATGATTGTTAACTGCACGGTTTTGAAAATATACACGAATGAATTGCGCTTCATCAGCAGCCATTCCCTTGAGAAGCAGGCCTTCAAGAGTTCCCAGTTGGAGATTCCGTACTTTTGTCTCACCAAAGCAGCACGATGTACATTCGATCTGTCATAAGGAACTCTCAGATCTTCAGAAATCTTTTGGAAAATGTGGAAGGATTTGAAGGCCTGAGCAAACTCAGCTACGGGGATATATCTGTAAGGTTGATTCTTTCTAAACCAGTATTGTTCTTGGTCCTTCTTGGAAGTTACTTCTTGCAGAAAGTCGGCAACACCTTTCCTTTGTGGGCATTTGAAGCCCATATGTTCGAAAAATTCGAGAACATTCTCGCGAGAACCTTGGTAAACAATTTGACCCTCTGAAAGTAGAATAATGTCATCGAAAAGGTCAAATGTCTCGGGCGCGGGCTGCAGAAGAGAAATGACCGTCGTGAGGTCCATGATATGAACCATCTGCTTCATGTACTTTATTATCTGAAATGTGGTGGAGCTGTCCAAGCCTGTTGATATTTCATCCATGAAAAATGCTCTAGCTGGCCCAACTAACATTTCCCCTGCATCCGGTGTAAAAGGTGATTTGATTAATCCTCACTACAACCAACAAAAGTATTCCTTTTAAGTTCTAACAGTAATTTTGTATACAATTAACAAATACCGGTAGTGACACGCTTCTTTTGCCCTCCAGAGATGCCCCGTTTCATGTCATTGCCCACCATAATATCCGCACAAATATCCAATCCAAGTATCTGTTCAAGAATTAGAAGATATTATGAATTTAGAACAGCAGTTGAAAAGTTTTTGGTTTCTTGTGAGGGTAAAAAATTAACCTTGAGAAAATAATCTGTGATCAAACTTGTTTTCTGGCCAGCCACTGCTGTGGCTTTCATGAATGCGTCGATCTCAGGATCTGGTTTTATACCTTCTGCTTTCTCGTGCCTTGATGCCTCTACCAACATTTCGTACCTGGTTCCAACTCCAAGGCAGCGTCCAGAGAAATCCAAAGTCTCACGAACTGTCATCTCACCGTAGTGAAGATCATGCTGGCTAATATAAGCACTAGTTCTCTGAGGAACAAATTCAGACAACTCATGGCCACAATAGGTGACTTTCCCAGTTACCTGTTCACAAAATACCAGTTAGCGGGACTGAATTTGTAGACACACACACACACAACCAGAGGGAGAGGAAGGCAGACCCTTAAATCATCATCAAGCTGCCCAGTAAGTGCCTTCAAGAATGTTGTTTTTCCGGAGGCAGGCGGTCCAAGAAGTAGACACATTCTGAAAAGAAAAAAAAAATCCACATTCATTTAAAAAGGAACTTAGAAACCAAATTAACAACAAGAAGTTCTTATAGCCAATGCTAGTCTAAGCATACCAATTGTAGCATACAGTTTTTCTTGGCATATAGAATATAAATACTGCATCTTTTTCTTTTCTTGCATAACAGATATGTAGAATTTAGTGAATATACCTTGATGGTCTCACTATTCCACTAACATCTTGAAGTATCTTGACTACCCTTTTCTTTGAAGGAGAGAGCCCAACCAGTCCAAGAACCCCCTATACAAATCGAAATTAACGAGAAAAGGAAACAAGCTTTTATGCAGCTAGAAACATAAGCGATAAGGATGAACATGAAACTACTAATCTTCAATTTGAATTCATATCCGTCATTTGGAAATTTCGACCCAGTTATACTAGAATACAATCACTGGCACTCTGAAAAAAGTCATCTTGCATTTGCCACCAAGTGAAATGAATAAAGGCTAAAGGAGGGCAGATTCCGGGGAATGATGATTTTGGGGTACAAATAACAATTTTCTTATTTTACTCTTACATATAATTTCAATCTTGCAAATGACCCTTGATGAAATTCTACGATTCATTCAATGCAGAGGAAAGTTGATCCCTTATAATAAGGAAAATTGCTGAAGAATGTGATACCTCAATTGCATTTAAGGTGGAATTGATCAGAGTTGGAAGTGCCCTGGTCCCAACATATGCATCTCCCTCCACTGATAGGTGCTCAAATCTCACTTCAATCTTAGGAACCTCAATTCCCACCCTATTTCCCAAACGTACAATTTAGTCAAAATTAGTCAACAAGTCACTAATCAAACCACTTATTGAGATCAAATTAAAAATATATGTAAAAAATATTTAAAGATTGAAGCTGGACTTCCTAACAAGCCTAGGCCTAAACGAGTTGGTAGAGCAGCGTTCTCGCAACCTCTATACGTACCCAAGTTTGAACTTCCCTTTCCGAAGTTTAGTTTATATTAAATTAGAACATGGCTCGAATAAAAAAAAAGTTGAACTTCAGTATGTTTTCTTTCATTGCCTCACCATCCAAAACCCAAGGTTCAAAACATTGCAGACAAGAAGAGACACTAACCTGTCAGTTCTGTCTCTAAGCCTCTTAAGGAACTTCTCATTATCTTCCTCAACAATGTTTAATATGCTGTCCATCAACTGCTTCTTATCTTCTGTCTTAAGCTCAGTAATATCAACCTCACCATACTCCACCCTACCATTGCTCAACACCTTCCTGAACATCCCCTTCCGCAGCCTATCATACGTTGGTAGCCGCTCGATCGCCGCCCACCTAAGCTCCTCCTCCTCTTCGGCGGCCCTGCTCTTCTGGAACACGTCTGGCTGCTCATTCCACATATCTTTTATGCTTATTGACCGCCAACTCATGCTACTTGCAGACCGCACCAGGCCATCTCCGGCCAAAGCTCCCGCCATTTGTAAACTTTCCGGTCACTAGAAATTCAAGATAACTAAGCACTTATGAATTGAAAAGAATACCAACCATGCACACACAATGCATGTATTTAACAATTTGTTTACTTGTTGCACAAGGTACCGCGATGAAATGTGATGAGGTCTGCTAATATAAGGGTGTTTGAGACTACATACATATATAAGAAATAGTCAGATAAGAGATCTAGAAGGCGTGCGGATATGGAAGAAGGATCTTACATTGCAGACGATAAAGTAAGAATTGGAGCCTTTTTTTATATTTGTTTAAGTCAAAATTAGAGAGTTGGAAGACCGTGCTAATTAACTATTTGGTATTTCAAGTGATATTGGTTGCCATGGAATAGCATATGCTACTTTTTTCCCTAATGGGAATATTGTGCTTTTACTTTAACAAAGAATAGTTAATATTATATGGACTTCATAGATGATATGCGTGAAGATAAGGCAAAGCAATCTATTCTTCTACTTTATTTAGTTTCTTTTCGGTTATATCATTTTCTATCTCCAAGGAATTCTAATCAGCTCTACTAGTAAAAGAGGGAGAGAGAGAGCTGTTGAGTGTCGCATCGGGGAATTAAGGTTTTTGTATGTGCTTATACCGATTTGGGCAACTCTTGATATTGGTTAATTAGTTTAAGAGAAAATTGTAGCGATGCTCTTTCAACTTTAATCAAATGAGAGTAATGGTCCCTCAACTAAAAATTCATTACCATTGGTCCCTCAACTCATCAAAATCTGTAACTATGGTCATTTTAGTCAATTTCGTCAAAATTTTGTCAAAATAAGTTATATTGGAAGAACCATTGTTACAATTGGGGTCTCTCAACTCATCAAAACATGTAGCTATAATCCTTTTCGTCAACTTCGTCAGAATTTTGTCAAAATGAGTTATGTTGGAAGGACCATTGTTACAATTGGGTTAAAGTTGAGGGATCATTGCTTCAATTGAGTTAAAGTTAATGGAAGTTAAGTTACCTCCAAATTGTCAATTGGTTTTATGATGTAAAATGGTTGTTTTCTATTATTATTATTAGGGAAATTTTACATTTAACCTCTTTTTACACCTAATTTTAATTTTAAATGTTAATTGTCTATGTTATTCTATTGCATAATTACTATTAAGTACAAAATGAAATTAATAATAAAACTCAAAATTTTCAATAAACACAAACACTATAATTAAACCCTACGATCACTCTTTGTTTATCCTACGTTTATTCTGGCTAAAACTCTAATAGCTCTCATAGAGAAAATTAAGTTTTTTTTATTGATGGATGGTTATTTTGAAGTTTTGAATTCTCAAACCAAGATATGACCCAATTTGTGAATTTTTTTATTCGTTTGATTTAAATTTTTTAGAGTGTAGAAGTTACTTTACTGTATTTTTTTTCAACAAATACAACGAAAGCATCCTACCTTCCGGCTAAAACAAACAACGAAAGCATATGTTTACTCCTTAGATTTTGTTGATAGCCTTTGGCTTAATTGCCATGACACAAAAAAAAATTATGAAATATGCAGCGGCGACTATATGCGCGGACTGCATATGGAAAAGGAAGAAGAAGGTTGTTTTCTTGTTAAACTGAATCAGCCAAAACGCTTCGTTTGAGCCCAATACAATTAAAATGAACATGTGAGCCCACTTCCCATTTTAATATTTTATATAAGACACCCTAATCAATAATCCCAATGCCCAATCCCTTTTTCGTCTCTCCCCAGTTTCTTTTTTCATTCTAAACTTCTAACCCCATCTGACCAAGCCACCACTTGTCCACCTCTCTCCTCTCAACCACCACTTCATTTCTTAATTTTATTCTTGTTATTTTAATAGTGTCCTAATTTCTAAATTTAAATAAGTTTTCTAATTTTAGTCCAAAATAGAATGCTATTAAATTGATGTGTTAGATTCCTAATAGATACTAGTTAGTGCTTGGATTGTAATTTATGATTTTCTTATATTGATTTGATCATGTGATGCTTCATTTCTATTTATAATATATATATATATATATATGTTTTGTTTTTGAGCAAATATACATATGATTTTAGCTCTATTAATTGATATGAATTTTTATTTTTATTATTGAATGTGTAGAAATTAAGAACATGGAACGATATAATACATGAAAATCATACTCGATTAGTTTAAACAATGTTATTTCGAATAGTACAACACCAATTTTGTTGGGTTCAATCCGATTTCAGATAGTTCAACTCGGGAAGAGATCTGGTTTGGATCGCTCCCATCAAAGGCCCAGGATCAAGTGTTCCGAGCCATTAAAATTTAATCTAACGGCTACAATTATTATAATTTTTAGAGGAGTCCCCCTGTTTGTAGCCATTTGATCAAATTTCAATGCCCCGAATCATTTGATCCTGGGCCTTTGATGGGAGAGATTCGGACTTTTCTTGTTCAACTCCAATACTGGGACCACCCAATGATAAAAGTCTGGATCGGCCACTGGGCCCTGGTACTTCATTTTTTGATATGAGGGTAGAAGTAGTTGCTTTGCCCAGTTACGAAGAGAAGGAGGAGGAGTTTAAGGAGGAGGTAACCCATTTACTATCTGACGTCAAGTGGCACAACGGTAATTTCTGGGTTAAAAATCCAATGGGTGTAAAAATAAATCCACATATTAAATTGGGTTTATGGGGGTATATTAGGTATTAAATTTGGGTTTAAAGAGATATTAATAGTTTAGTTAAAAATCAAATGGGTGCAAAGAATAAGTTGGATGTATAAATAGGTTAGATGAGTTTAAATAAAATTTCTCTTATTATTATTATGCAAAAGAAAGAGTAGAAGTTCCACCATTAATCCCATCGGTACCGTTCTCGCATGACCACTCATGCAATTAATAGGTGTGCTTTTGTTTTTGCTATTCTTTTTTATGCAAAAGCCATTGAGCTAATTAAAATGAAATTATTTGATATAATTTGTGATTTATTTTGTGAGATGGTCTTTTTACTTTATTCAACAAACGATAATTCCATAAAGAAAAACATTCATCCATCTGCTCGGTAGGTCAAGGCATTTACAATCTTGATAGAAAAACAAGAAAGAGTGTATAATCGCTTTATCAGGTGATGAATTTGTACATCTTTATTTTTTTTGTGGCCAAGTACTCTTGATTTCTCGCACAAAAGATCGACACAATTTGAATGAGGAATACGTACATCTTTAGTAGCTAATGACTCTTGATTTCTCGTACAAAGATTGACAGGAAAATGATTTCCGCACAAAAATAAATCAATCGTTTACTTCTCAAGTGCAGTTTGTTTAAATCAGTTCTTTTTTTCTTCAAGAAAAAGATTTATATATGTCAATTAGGGAAGAATATAGCAGTACAGTAGACCAAGTTTTCAAGTTTTAATTGATTTCATATGAAGAAATGATTTCTCATGTTTATTTAAACAGAAGAATGCCAAGCCTTTTATTTTATCGAACATCAAAGAATACAAACAATACGAAAGAAGTGAACAGAATTTCTTGTATCTGACTCAATACTATATCAATACACAACTTGAAGGTTTCTCAGCTTAGCTGAACATGGAAGTTGCTTATCTCCTCTGGAAGTTAAGGTACTTGATGCCGTAGGCAAAGACGAAGAAGAAGAGAAGGACCCAACCAATATGAGCAAACACCACGGGGATTAAAAAGTCGTAGTCATAACCAAAGTTATCTTTAATGAACACATCCACTCTCACTTCTCCCTGAGAAGTTACAATCAGATCCTTGTTGTCGCCAACTTGAGACGCGAAGATGCCATAGATTGACCAAGCAATTGGAGACCCCCAGTAGTACCACCTCCACCACACCGGAATTAGCTGCAAGATAAAGCATGAGTTGTTATGATCGCAATGATAGAGAAAATTTCTTGTTGAACAAGCTAAGTTTGGTGAAATTCATCGAGTAACCTAATTGGGGTTTTAACAATTGAATCCCTACTCTTTCATCACCTTCGTGTCATAAAGTCCCAATAAGAAAAGTAACTGAGAGTTTCAAATGACATACCGGCCTGGAAATGAGGAAACCAGAGAACAAGTTCCAGAAGCTCGTGAAGAAGGAGGAAACGATTGCAGCAATTTGATGGCCAGGAGTTAGTGCAACCATCATCATTCCGTACATGGACATGTAGGTAAAGCACATGAATATGAAGTAGTAGAAGTACAAAAACTTCTCCACCGTCCAAACATACCCGATCATAGAATACAGAAGGCATGAATACATAAAGGTTTGGATTGCAACGTAAATTGTCTCAATAGCAACCTGCACCAGCACCAAAAACAGGAATCAATTCCAGCTACATCTTAGTTTATTAAAAAGCTTGGAAACACATATCTTATAAAACTTCCAATTTCTTACCTGAGCAAATGCATAAGGTAACTCTGAATACATCCCTGCTGCTCTTTCACGGTAGAAAACTGTTCTCTCAATCGCAACCACAGATTGCACAGCATTAGCATTGCTTGCTCCAAGGAAAAGAACAGCGGAATAGGTAGCTCCCAAAAGATTTATCAGGTCTTGTTGTTTGTGTCTGTTCACAAGATAACAGTTATACAATATTGTATAAGTGACAAAACACATCTTGATTGGAGAAAACACGCAATTGAGTCACAAATTTAGAGGGAAGAATATGTAGCTGATTATAAAGTTCTAAAAATTACATGGAGTCTCCTTTGCCCCAGAAGATAACACCAAATAGTATGCCAATGCCAGCTGTCATGAAAAACCTAATGGCATTGTATCTCGAGTTCCTCCAGTACGACCAGTGTTGTTTCCAAAAGCAAGCATGGCATTGAGTTATGAAACTTTGTGAGTATTGGGTGGGAAAGTAAAGGTCACTAGAACCAGGTTGTGGTGTGCTCAGTTCCTCGATAAGTTCCTGATTTTGTCTGAACAGGTGAAGAAAAGAAATGTAAGGATCTAATTTTAACAAACAGAAAGGGAACAAAATTAATACTACACATGTTTTTTACCTATAGAGGTCAGAATTTGCAAAAATTTCTGCGAAGTCAACATTGTTTTGAGCCTCAACTGCAGCTGAGCTGACCTCTAACATCCAAGTAGCAGGATTGTAGCCTTCTTTAATCTTGGGAACTCCAGGAATTGCCTGCAAGAAGGTTTTCGATATTATCCAAACTTTTTAACTCTAAACTCAT